ATTATTATTATTATTATTATTATTATTATTATTATTATTATCATCACCATATCATGTTTTTATCATTATATCGTCAGACGGCGCACCTTGCAAATGTGGTAGTACAGGCGGTATCTACTGGTTTGGTCGCAACTCCTGTCCAGGTGGATACGGATATACAAGGTCTTGCTGGTATTTTGCTGGCAGATGTTGCACTCCTGCTTAAACCATTACACTGCAATCAGTCGTTAGAAAAGTCAAAATGTAATGTTAAATGTAGTTTGATTCAAATCAAAATCAATTGATTGAATAAAGTCAATACCTTAAATCCAATATTAGCATTATACCTCTCATGAGCATTGTAATAACGACTTATTGAATAGCATTAAAGCTTCTATCATCAAATCTGTTGTATCATGGGGTATTTCCTTTATAGTTCCTAATCAACACCCATAAACCCCCTGCTTCACGGACCTCAGTTGACTTTCCGGCTTTGTGACCTGGCCTGATTTTTTTTTTAAATAAATAAATAGTGGAATTGCGATGAATATACGACCACAATCTACTTGAATATATTAACCAAATTAACTTCTCAGGACCAAAATGCCTACCCACTAGCTTGAAACTATCAAAGGTCAGCTTTCGGTAATATTTTTATTTTCATGAGTAGTTTCATTTTACTTTCACTTATGAGAAAACACCTTGTAATTTAGAAAACTATATGGCGAGCGGGAAGGAACGGCTTGAGTGGCAGGACGGTGGAAGGGTAGCAGCGAGATGAAAAGAGGGAGAAACATGGTATGAATAAGCCATATCTTCTTTTCTTTTCTTTCCTTTGTTTATTTTTATTTGTTCACCAAGAATGGCCTCTGAAACCATTTCCTCATCTTCAAACAAAGTTAGTATTAAATTGTGGAAAGTTATATTATGATTGCGTTATTATTGTCACTTGAACTGTGATCATGGTTTAATACTTAAATCAGTTCTATTCATTCATTAACGTCTCCAGATAATTCAAATTTTAGAAAAATATATGGCGAGCGGGGAGTGCAATTCACCGTTATCACGCTAGTGTCACATCTGATTTATTGGAAAAAGAAGTTTGCCTTCCAATTCAGCAATTCCCGCGCGAGCGGAGCACCATACTTAAGAAAAAATGGTAAACCATCGAGTTGATTTTTCATGGCTTGGCTGACGTCACTTCCGTCCGTGTACACAACACAGGAATCCCGCTTGATGTCAAAGCAAAACTACTCACAAATGCGGCTCTCAAATGCACAAAAAAAAA